TTGGTGGCCAGCAAGTGGTACTGAAATGCAAATGAATGAACTACCGAAACAAAGATCATTGATGGTTATGCTGCATTGCAATAAATTTGTCTTTGTTTTGTAGTTGATTGCATTTATAGTTTTATTACATCTGTTTCTGAAAGGTTCAGCTCCAGGTGAAAATTTACACGGTTCTAAATTTCGTCGGTGACGGAAAAGGCACTTTTCTTACCCCTGCATACCGCGTCAAACTTTTCACAGATTCAGGCAGCTAAATATTCAATCTTTTGGTATAACTTCTAAGATACTGTCATGCCACGACCATGCCATGCCATCTGTATGTCAGTTAATCGGCAAGTCAAAGTTCCCGAATAATCAGCTGCAGTTTTCTTCTGGCCCTGTCAAATATAATCGAGCGCTCGGGTGAAATTCGGCACATTCATTCTCTCTTCAAAGTTTACTCTCAATACTGTTCTTGACTTTTTTCGTGTTTTTAAATGCATCTTAATAGATTCACTGAATTCACCACATTGTACTCGAGTCACCATTCGTGTCGTTTCCAACAAAAATTCTTGTCACCAGATTCATGAGGATTTTTTTGTGGTAAGTTGAGTGCATTTGCGAGGAACATTATTCGCATAGATAAGACAGTAGCAATAGTATTATTCCTCGGCGAAAAACCAGGAGAATGGAGGTAGAGATGAGTTGATATTTCGGGCAATAGGCCTTTATCGAAACAATAGTAGAAGTCGAATCCACATAATCTTTTTTTGATATCTGCAAGAAACGAGCCTGAATATTCTGGTGCCCCGTAATGTGTAAAAGGCAGGCTCCCAGTACAACTGACTGTGCAAGATGGCTGTGGAGGAACTTGTTAAGTCATGGGCAATGCACCGTGAGCGTGATAGTGGGCGGAAAGGTTAGGTGATTGACACGAATATTCACTTCCTGTGGATGCAGTGTGTGTGGAAGTATATGAAGGACCATCGGCTCGAAGCCCAGCCATGGTGCTCATCACGATTCCACTTTCCACGTAAATCTCCTGGTCATCTTCTGCTATTGTTTTAAAAAGGCGAGTTGCCGAAATATTAATCCACCTCTATCTCCATTCTCCTGGTTTTTCTCCCAGGAATAAGACTATAACTGCTGTCTTATCTATGGGAATGTTTTTGCCTATGATATTTACAACAAAGCCTTCATGGTCTCATGACGGCATATATTCCTATCACATGGCATGGTATTATTACTATAGTGGTTTGCTCTTCATACGAAATTAAGCTGTTTCGTTTCGATTCAGCATGGATCCACCGCTTACTCCAATAAAGTGTAGGATGAGTGCGGTAGTCTGAGGATGGTGCGACGCTTACGCCACCATCAACAGCATGTACACAGCCTAATAGCATCAGCCGCTTACCAACAATAACAACACAGATGACTGAGCGGCAGTTTTATTGATAAATGTTGTTCAGGTCATTGCAATGAATAGAACACCTCCGTGCGCACATTTAACGGGCGTCCCTCATACCTAGTACGCCGCAGGCTTGTGTGCCGGGACTGGAGGGCTATAAGCTGGCTTGTATGCCACGGCGGCAGCCTTGTAGACGGGGGAAGAATCGTGGGCAGCAGCAGGCTTGTAAGCCGAAGCGGCAGCCTTGTAGGCAGGGGCGGGGTGGTACTCGGGGTACTGGGCCTCTCCCTCGTAGGTGACCTCAGCGTTGTAGCCGCCGTAGTTGTCGGCGACGTACTTGACGTGCTGGACACGGCCGTCGGGCAGAGTCACCGAGTAATATCCCTGGGTGTTGTGGACCATCGCTCTGCTCCTTCTTGGCGAAGTTGGCTCCGGAGTAGTGGTCATTGACGGCGTAGTTGTAAGCGAACGGCTTGGCCTCCTCATTGTAGTGGGGCTCCGGATGGTAAGAGGCCGGCTTGTAGGCTGGGGCGGGCCTGTACACCGGTGTATCCGGGGCTGGGGCGGCAGCTGCAACAGCCAGCACGGCGGCAACGACGAGAGCCTGCAATGCCATAGAAGATATGTCATCAATGGTCATTCATCTTTGAATAGTTCCTATTTTTGCGAACACGATGCATTGGCTTGAAAAGTCTCTAACACCCGACAAATGACTGCACCAACAAGATACTTCAAGCACATACCTGCATGCTGTGTTTTGGTGGCAGGGTATGCAGGGGAACTAGTACCTGCTTTTACAGTACTTTTGCTTTTATAGGCCGGCCGCCAAGCAGTGAGAGAAGGCCACGGTTATTACCTCACTGAAGAGACTGCCCCCTAGCGCGTTGTTATCGGCTGGGCTGGTGTCACATGGATTGATATGAGCTTGTGGCCACCCCATAATGTACACTTCACTCATGTCATGCAATTTTCGCGCCCATTAAAGGGACTGGTCCGCATCTGAAGATATTGAGGCTGGCACCAGACGTGATAGAAAGGCTCATTTGTAAGCATTATCATGTTTTCAAAGGCAAAAATCTGCTGTCAATAGCACAACTTCATTACTTAATTAAATGCGCCCCCATACGTCATCACTTGATTATGTCATGCGCCGATTTTGCGTCACTAGAGTCTCCACCAGAGTTCTCGTGTCAGAGGTGCGACTTTAGCGAAAGTCGTGACTCATTTGTGTATTTCGACACGCGTCAAGGTGGCGTCGTTTGTATATGCGAGCAAATCTTTATCACAAGGGTACTGTATGTTTTTATGTGATTTCATGTATTCTGCTTACATTTAAATTGTCGGTTACGGCGAACCTTTTTAATATCAGGCACATGTCGGCCATGGTTTTAAGACACCTAACTGCCTTTGTAATTTAACGCAAAACACGGCTAGTGATCGATACATGCAATCGGCAACACAGTTTGGCTGTTTGCCAATTGCCTTATGACGTCTTAGTTCGTCAAGAAGCCACATTCAGCCAGATGGTGCATCACTACCCATATCTTACTGAACTTTAAACTTGATAGGTCTAGGTAGGAGGGAAGATACTTTGCCAATACAAAATAACATCCACCTTATGTGCGAGACAAAACCTTTCCCGCACAGACCAGCACTTTTCGTACTTAACTGGTAAAAATACCAGGAGTTTACGCATGCAAAGCGCATAGACAACCTCGTGCACTATGTACCTCACTTGCCAGCAATGTATCTGGTGCATTTAGCGTAGAAATAATGCATGCAGCAGACAACAGACTCGCCACGCTCGCCACTCCTTCGCACCACCGGCGGCGTCACGTCCACGGGCGCGAGGCTGTATGAGTTCGAAGTGCATTGTAATGAGGTGTCGCATGAGGTTGTTGCGCATTTCATCACACTTGTTAAGTTCTACGCTATCAGCTCGTTGGCCATATACGTCGGTCGCTAAGTTTATTCGTCATTGGTACGAAGCCAGCCCGATTTTCCTGCCGCCCAATTGTGTATAAGACTTATAAGACTTTGTGTTTAAGATTTTGTGCTTGAGACTTTAAGACTTTGTGTTTGAGCCTTCACTTTTCATGTCATTACATTTTAATAGATTGCTATATGGGCTTCCAAAGTCCATCATCACGTTCGCCACAAAATTTTTCGTTACTGACTCGCTGATCATATGCAATCGCATCTAAGGACTTATTCGCTATCTGCACGAATGTTTCTGGTTGCCGTTTGCCTCTCGGCATTACGTCCGAAGTCTAGCGATCCCCTTACCCCTCCCGTGCATTTAAGTTTTGGCACCAGTGACATCACGTTAACGTCTAGCGAGGATGAAGAAAGAATCATCAGACGGTTTTGCCTGCCTGATACTGCCAGATGTCCCATAAAAGTATGTTAAAAGCTGGTAACATGTATTTCCATCCTGGAAACTTCCCCAGCACAGGCGTTTCAATAAGCACCATTGTAAAGCGCTCGCTAGCCTAACTTCGTGACCCACTTCACAGACTTTTAAAACGAGATCATACCATCAGTTTGTGATACCAATTGTAAAGAATCGGTTATATTGTGCCACACTTCATAGCATATCGTAGCCTTAACTAATGTAGGAAATGGTCGGAATTACTGTCAACGTTTTCATAATAGGCCTGTGACGGTAAATCGATTTAGTCACATTCAATTTGACACTCCCTTTATTAGAAACATGGATTACCTACATTCCAAAAACATGAACACCATGGAATGTCTGAGCTAACGAGCCTTTGAGCTCTAATTGTTGGGCAGAACCAACATTTCTCTAACGTCACATCCGGATATTGTCATTTTCAGCCTGGTTCTGTATGTGGCGACATCATGCGCAGTTATTACGACCTATGGCGATGTGCGTGACGTTCACACGTTTGAGAAGAACACGATTCATCTCTGCAAAAATGGAGTAGTGGCTTACTTAGCTTAGAAACACTTCGAAACCAAGAATACATTAATGCATCTGCCTTGACGACTAGTTTTTGCTTTCGCCTGGGCCTTTCTAAGGAATGATCCGGGGGGGGACACCTTAATGACGTGACGAATTCAAGATATACATCCTCATACCTCCACACCATACCCACGTCCCCAAACGATGATTTCTCCTCGAATCTAACCCACATTGCCACTGGTATCGAATGAAAAACGACCAAAATGTACCTTTTGGATACGATATGATGGGACCAAGGGGGGGGGGGGGGGGCTAGAACGCGAGCTGTCAGTTGGAGACGGGAAGGAAGTATACCTTGTTCGAATGCATAGTTCCAAATGGGTGCAGACTGCTGCGCCATAAGCTATGTGTTTTTGGCCACTAATCTTCTAACTTGCTTGTTAAAGTTAGATGACCTGCCCATAAACAACGTCATGGGTCACATTTTGATCAACATCTAAGAGGCGGACGTGTACCAGGAATTCCGTGCGAATTCGTCATTTTCGCAACCGGTGACACCGTTGGAGGCGTCCGTTCACTGGAATCTGACCGTGACCGTCTATCAGTGGTTAGCGGCCGACCTATAAAAGCGAAAGCACCAAGGAGCAGGCACCACTTGCACTGCACACCCAGCCATCTGAACACACCATGCAGGTATGTGCTCTAATAATGCCATTGATATGGTGCCTTGTTGGCTTCTAGAGAGTTTATTTCAAGCCAAGTACAGCGTGTTTTTTGCGATGTGACATACATTACACGAAAAGTTAGGTTATGACATAGAGATATATGTATATGTATATATATATATATACGTATGAATATATATTTATTTATATATATCGTAGCAAAACTGCGCTATTAAAATGGCCGCCTGATCCGTCAACTATCCTCCTCTGCATTGCAGGGTTTCGTCATTGCCGCCGTGCTGGCTATCGCCGCCGCCACCCCGGCGCCGGAAACGCCGGGATACAATCCCGCTCCGGCCCCCTACCACCCTGCCCCTTCCTACAAGCCGGCCTCCTACCGCCCGAAGCCACAGTATAAGGAGGATGCCAAGCCGTTCGCCTACGACTATGCCGTCAACGACCACTACACCGGGACTAACTTCGCCAAGAAGGAGGAGAGCGATGGCCACAACACCCAGGGATATTACTCGGTGGCTCTGCCCGACGGCCGTGTCCAGCACGTCAAGTACGTCGCCGACAACTACGGCGGCTACAACGCCGATGTCACCTACGAGGGAGAAGCCCAGTACCCCGAGTACCACCCTGCACCTGCCTACAAGGCCGCTGCTCCGGCTTACAAGCCTGTCCACAAGCCTGCTTACAGCAATACCGCCCCGGCATACAAGCCTGTGACATACTAGTCACAGGGTGAGAATGGCTGACTGTTTAAATAGAATCATACGTGTGTCATGGTGTTTGTAAAAATAAATTTGGTCCCAACCCTTTGGATGGATGGATTTCTGGGATCAGCGCTCACGCTACGCAGTGCTTGTTGTGTGAGCCCTGATCCCCATCATCCGATCGCGCAATTCCAGGCAACGGCAGAATTTAGTAGCGAAAGCTTTACGTGCCGCAATGCTCGGCACGGTCCGTCCTGCCCTCTGACGTCAACTGACCTTTAGCACGACGGCTGCCACCGGCCGCAGGCCATACCTGCCAAGGGCAAATAGCGATCGCCCTAAAGCGACTCGAACCCACCCCGCCACGGGTGGGTGGATCGGAATGCAGGCGCTCTAACCAACTGAGCCACCTGGACAGACAAATTTTTGCATAGTTTTTAGCACAAATTTTTCGTTTTTTCCCGTTTTTTTTAAGATTCGGTCGAAGTGTGCGGAGGACGGAGGTAGGTTTTGAGGAGGTAGGAGGAGGACGGAGGAGGTAGGAAGAGGTTTTGACGGAGGCAATTCTATGCTTTCCAACGTCCAAATATCTCTGATCCGACCGTGGCAAACGACGCCCGCATAAACGAAGCTTAAAATCATAATAACACGCATAATGACTAGTAAGCAATGTCCTGTCATGGATTGTAGATGCTTGTAGCGCATCGTCTTTGCAAGCTTCTGAATTTGTTGGTGTGATTGCAGAGGAATTCAACATATTTTCTGGAAACAAAGGTTCTGTTATAATTTAAATCGTCATATCGTGAAACCATCACGCTAAAACTGTCTGACGGTGAATATCAGCACATGGTCTTGTTAACCATCTCTGACCCGCGATCGTCTGAGGGCTGAGAACATTTCGCCCCTTGTTGCTAGAACGACCCCCAAACCGTATTAAGTATTTATACCACGTTTACAGCGTCGCTAGGTGATCAAGCTGTCATTCTGCCATTTCACCGGGGTGCAGAAAGCAACTTTTTGAAAGAAAAGAAATGATCAGTTTTGCAATCTTAAAATCTCCTTCCGGACGTCACAGTCACTATCCTATTTTGACCAAGCGCTGGTGCTTTAGGTCAAATATCGATCGTTCTATCCCGTCGTGTTTCCACTCGCTTTGCCGACTCCTGGTCCCCATCCGCCAGCACAGTTCACACTTCGTGATAACGTTCATGCTATTTTTGGCCTTGGTGGTCATTTTTGGTGGTAGCCGCGACGTCCGGAAACAAAGTTTAATGTTGCAAAACTGATCATTTATTAAATTGTTTGTTTGCGTATTCGGTGAGATAACAACAAAAAACATTTTTTGGAAGCATGCTTTATTACTTTTCTGTCATGAAATTATGGCTTAGCCTTACGGTTGTGACTTTCTGTTTCTGAGTTCGCAACACATGCATGGTGGACGTTGATTTGGAAATGGCCTCATTGAAATGAATTGCCTACTGCAAATAGACAGCAAACGCTTTCCTTGCGACACATCGTAAGTGACCTACAAAGCTCGGTTCGTGATCAGTACTACCTTGCCGTGCGACTTGAAATATCATCCCTGGTTGTCCAGCCGCTACGTCAGTGGATGAGCTGCGTTAAAATAAGTCAAGAAAACGAAAAATGGAAATTATAGTGGGTGGAAGCGTCTTACGAGTCCTCACGGTGAACGCCGTGACCCCTGACCCAATCAAACATCCAGAGCCCAGTCTCCGAAGACCGTGGCATCTTGATCATTTAGCGACACTGTAAACGTGGTGCACCTCTTTAGCACAGTTTGGGGGTGCTCCAACCACAAGAGATGACATCTTCTCAGCCCTCAAACGGTCGTGGGTCAGAGGTGTTTTATAAGGTCGTGTGTTGATGACCATCTGTGAGGAGGTTTCAGCGTAATGCTTTCACAGGACATCACCTGTATTGGTGAAAGAATATTTGAGTTCGGAAAAATATGCTGAATTTCTCTACAGCCACACCGAAACTTTAAAAAGCTTCTTAAGATGCAATGCTGTAAGCGCCAACAATCGAAGACAGGACGTCGTTAACTAGTCATTATATATATTTTTGTGGGTTTTAGCTTCGGGTTTATGAGGACGTCGCTTATCACAGCGGGATGAGAGATACTTGGGCGGTGGAAAGCGTAGAATTATATCCGTCCAGCCAGCACGTTTGAACCAAATTTTTTTTTATTGAAGTAACGGGCGGAAAGAAACGAAAAGCATCATAACACACCTACGAATATATCTAAATAGGCACCCGTTCTAACTCTGTAACTAGTACGTCGCAGGCTTGTATGCCGGGGTGGAATGGCTGTAAGCAGGCTTGTGGACAGGCTTGTAGGCCGGGGCAGCAGCCTTGTAGGCAGGGGCGGGGTGGTATTCGGGGTACTGGGCCTCTCCCTCGTAGGTGACATCAGCGTTGTAGCCGCCGTAGTTGTCGACGACGTACTTGACGTGCTGGACACGGCCGTCGGGCAGAACGACCGAGTAATATCCCTGGGTGCTGTGGCCATCGCTCTGCTCCTTCTTGGCAAAGTTGGTGCCGGTGTAGTGGTCGTTGACGGCGTAGTCATATGCGAACGGCTTGGCCTCCTCCTTGTACTGGGGCTCCGGGTGGTAGGAGGCCGGCTTGTAGGAGGTGGCCGGGTGGTACTGGGCCGGAGCGGGCTTGTAGCCCGGCGTCTCCGGCGCCGGGGCGGCGGCGGCGACAGCCAGCACGGCGGCAATGACGAAACCCTGCAATGCCGTGGAGGATACATGACGGATCAGGCGGCCATTTTAATGACGCAGTTTTTCTACGATATATCTCATAGCCTCACCGTCCGTGCAGTGCATGTCTAATAGCTAAACCCACAGTGTACTTGGTTTGAAATAAACTCTCTAGTAGCCAACAGGTCACCATATCAATGGTATCATTCCAGCACATACCTGCATAGTGTGTTCTGATGGCCTGGTGTGCAGTGCAAGTGGTGTCGGCTCCTTTGGTGCTTTCGCTTTTATAGCTCGGCAGCTAACCACTGATAGACGGTCACGGTCAGGTTCCCAGTAAACGGACGCCTCCAACGGTGTCACCGGCTGCGCTGTCGAATTCGCACGGAATTTCTGTGCAACCCCAGCTTCCTAGAAGTTCACCATAATGTGACCCATGACGTTGCATGTGGAGAGATCATCTAACTTTAGCAGTTGAGTTGGGTGATAAATGGCTAAGAACACATAGCTCATGACGCAGGAGGATTGTGTCCGTTTAGAACTTTGCATTGGAACAAGCTAGTACTTTCTCCCATGCCCAACTGACAGCTCGCGTCCTAGCTCTTCTTTGGACTAATTCTATTGCATCCAATTCGTACAATTTTGGTCGTTTTTCATCCGAAAGTATATATTTATTAAGTGGGTTAAGTCCGAAGCGAAACTGTAATTTGGGAGCACAGATATAGTGTGAAGGTATAAGAATGAAAATTTAGATCGGTCATGTCATTAGAACGTCCTCCTCACACACCATTTCTCAGAAAAGCACAGGCAGAAACGGAAACTGGCCGTCCAGGCATTTGCATGGATATATATTATTTGTTTCAAAGTGTTGTTCAGCTAATTAAGCTACTAATTGACTTTGACAGATATGAATCGTGACCTTCTGAAACGCGTCGACGCCACACATATCGGCATGTGTCACATTAAGTGTGGATGATATGGACACGTACCTAACTAGGGTTAAAATGACAATATCCGGGTGTGATGTAAGCGAAATCTGAGCTCTACCGAAGAATTCTACCTCAAACCCTTATTAGCCCAGACTTGTTGTTTTGCCATCATATATGCATGTACTTGCTGTTATCATTTTACGCCTGAAAGACCATTTAGTTCAAGGTGTCTATGTTTTTGGCATGTAGGAAAGTCATGTTTCTGAGAAAGGATAAATCAAAATTAAATGCAACTTAGCGTTTTAACGTCATAGGCATATTACCACTAAAAGGTTGACCGCAAATGCCAGCCTTTCCCCCACATTACTTCACGTTGCGACATGCGATGCAACGTGACGCAACAAAACCAATTCTTACGAAACGGTATCACCACCTGATGGCATGGTCGACTTTTAAAAGTTCGTGGAGTGGACCACGCAATTTGGCTAGCGAGCGCTTTAAGGGGGTGTTAATGGAAACGCCTATATGGGAAAAGCTTGTAACAAGGTGGGAGCAAATGAAGCCAGTTTTTTATTTGTTCACATATATTCATGTATATTTGATATTTCATTTCAATATCACATATATTTCAAATATATTTCTATTTTCCACGTATTTTCACCGGAAACATGGCAGGATAAGAGAGGTAAAGCTGCCCGGTGATCCTCGCTTTATCCTCGCTTAACGTTAGCGTGACGTCACTGGTGCCAGGATTTCCATACACGGCAGGCCGCCAGACTCCGGACGTAATGCTGAGAGACAAAGGGAAACTAGGAACATTCGTGTAGATAGTGAACAAGCCGATAGAGGAATGCACATATAATCAGCGAGTCAGTAACGTAGAATTATGTGGCAAATATGATCATAGACTTTGCAAGTCCATGCAACAATGCACTGAAATGCAGTGACGTGAAAAGTGAAGGCTCACACACCAGTCTTTTGCGCAAATTGGGCGGCAGGAACATAGGACTTCCTTGGTACCAATAACGAATATGCCTAGTGGCAGAAGTATGTGACCAGCGGGCGGATTGTGCAGAAATTGGCGACAAGCTTGATGAAGTGCGTGACAGCCTCAAGTGGCAAATCATTACAGCGCAATTCGAACTTCCACGGCCTCGCGCTCTATGGGCGTGACGCCGAGGGTGGTGCAAGGCAGCGGCGAACGTGGTGGGTCCGTTGTCTGCCGCATTTATTTTGTCTGCGTCGCATACGCCAGATACATTGCTGGCATTGAGGTACAGAGTGGAGGAGGCTGTATATCTTTTTACAGGTATATGCTCATGACATTCTTACCAGATAAGTGCTGGTCTGTGCGGGAAAAGTTTTGCCTCGCGTGCAGCTGGACAACGTGGATGATATTGCATATTGGTATGATATCTTCCAACCCACCTAGACAAATAACGTTCCTTGAGATATTTGTCATGATAAACCATCCTGCTGGATCTGGCTTTTATGACGAACGTGTGACGTCATAAGGCAACTGGTAAACGGCCAGATTGCGCTGCCGATCGCGTGCCTCGAACACGAGCCGTGTGATCGTTGGAGGCGTTTTGTGATGAATTACACAGGCGTTAAGGTATCTTCAAGTTATGACAGAAATGAACCTGATAATCTAGTAATCAAGGTACTGTAGCGCGACCGAAAAGACCAATGCAAATAATAGACATCACATCACTCAAGAACATACAACCAAAACGCGAAAAGGGCAAATAGACACACAACTAATGCTTGTGACGACAATTTCACAGGAAAAACAAATGACGCCATCTTTACGGCGTGTAGGGGTGCACAACTGAGTCACTTTTCGCTATATTGGCACCTTGAGCACGGCAAATATGTCGAAGGCTTTGATGACGTTAAGGCGGTTCATGACGTAATCAAACGATGGTATATTGAAAAGCATGCTTTCTAAGTAATAAAATCGTGTTACCTATAGTGGATTTTGCATTTCAAAGCGTAACAATCCTAACCAGCTAGCTTTTACCATCAGCTCTGATCCCTGCCTCAGTATCTTCAGGCGTGGAACAGTCTTTTTAAATGGGCGCAAAACGGCATGGCAGGTGTGGAGACTGCATTATGGAGTAGCCGCGGGTCCATGCCAATCCATGCTGACACCAGCCCAGCCGATGACAACGCGCGAGGGGGCAGTCTGTTCAGTGAGGTAATGACCGTGGTCTTCTACCAGTGGTTGGCGGCCGACCTACAAAAGCGAAAGGACTGCAGAAGCAGGCACCAGTTTCACTGCATACTCGGCCACCAAAACACAACATGCAGGCATGTGCTTGAGCTACATTGTTGATGTAGCAACTTGTCGGGTGCTAGGGATTTGTCAGGCAAATACATCGTGTTCAGAAAAATGACGAAGATGCTGGAATGAATGACTCATTGATAACGTATTTTCTATGACATTGCAGGCTCTCGTCGTTGCCGCCGCGCTGGCTGTTGCAGCTGCCGCCCCAGCCCCGGATACACCGGTGTACAGGCCTGCCCCGGCCTACAAGCCGGCCTCTTACCATCCACAGCCCCAGTACAACGAGGAGGCCAAGCCTTTCGCTTACGACTACGCCGTCAACGACCACTACTCCGGTGCCAACTTCGCCAAGAAGGAGCAGAGCGATGGCCACAACACCCAGGGATATTACTCGGTGGCTCTGCCCGACGGCCGTGTCCAGCACGTCAAGTACGTCGCCGACAACTACGGCGGCTACAACGCTGAGGTCACTTACGAGGGAGAGGCCCAGTACCCCGAGTACCACCCCGCCCCTGCTTACAAGGCTGCTGCCCCGGCATACAAGCCTGTCCACAAGCCTGCTTACGGCCATCCCACCTCGGCATACAAGCCTGCTGCGTACGATTCTTCCCCCGTCTACAAGGCTGCTGCCACAGCACACAGGCCTGCAACGTACTCGGCATGAGCGATGCCCGGTAAATGCACGCACGAATATGGTCTTATGATTACGATAATTTAGAAATATATCAATAAACCTGCTGCTCAGGCATTTGTGCTGATATTGATGGTACGCAGTTTATCTCCTTAGTCTTCATGTACATGCTGTTGACTGTGGCGTAAGCGTCGCACCATCATCACACCAACGAACCAACTTTGCACTTTATTGGAGTGAGCGCTGACTCCAAGCCGATTTGCCACTAAAATGCTAAGCTTTTCTAGTCGGATGAAACCACTACGAAGGCAATACCATGTTTTGAAAGCACATACACATTCCAAGCGGCTTTAATATTGCCACGTGTTTAAGCTGTCTGTGCCGCCACGCAGTGCGACAATTAACTCTTTGTTGTAAGTATAATTTGCAAAAGAGTACAGCATGAATCTGGTAAAACGAATTACTGCACGAAGCAAAACAACCAGTAACCGGAGCAAGATCCATGGTCAATGCAGTGAACCTATCAATATGCCGTTTAAAAGCACGGACCAAATGTCAAGGGTATAAATCGAGAGCAAAGATTTGGAATCGAAATGAACAGGCAAGCATTCATCCATCCTCTTTCTACATTCCCCTTCGTCTTTCCATTCTATCGTGCTGTTGTGATCTGTTAAACTTGTCTTTTTATGGATGACAAGCTCCAAGCCGCATCATACTCCTATAAACCCAGCTATTGTCTCGTTTCTAGCACTTTCTTCATTATAATTTACCATATTTCACTCTGCCTTCTCTTTACCCATCGTTCCTAGCCATCGCTTCATTTATCATCGCGGCGGGCGTGTTCATAGCCAGCAGTGTGGGAACTTTAGACCACTTATCACTCCTCATGACTTCTCTGCGCTCTACAGAACTACCATTTTCTTTAGACATATTTTTCAACACAATATGCTAAGAGCTTCCTGTCCACTCGGAAATGCAGTTTGATTTACCCTACACCCGCTGGTACTCCAAACGCATATCGTGACCAAAAGTGGTCTGTTTCAAAGCTGTATTGAAACGATTGAGATGGACCCATACCGATTCATACAGCTGAACACTAACGCTGAGAAAAGTAGTTGGTCACTTCATACATCCTGAAAGTTTGTTTAGTTCGAAAAAATAAAACACGTGTTTTTGTCACATGGGCACATGTATTTTTAATCCTGTATGTCAAGGAGATAGCATTTGGGTACTTTGTGTCCATCGCAGTATTGGCCGGGAGCTCGCATATGTACCCATGACATTAATTTAGGACAGGAGCGTTTCAACTGCTCGAGGAATTATCTTTTGAGTCATTCTGTACCTCAAGGAGATCATTTGTAAGTTGTTAAGTGCATTAGCGGGGAACGTTGCTCACATGGGAAAGACTGTAGTATTAGCCTCATTCCTCGGATAAAAACCAGGACAACTTGACTATATCTCCATTTCCTAGTTTCTCCGAGGAATAAGGCTGACACTTCTGTCTTATCAAGGAGATCATGCCAAGCTATGTTGTGCACATCACAACGTTGACGGGGAATTTCCGTGTGCACCCACGGCACTGATGTAGAGTAGGAGCCTTTTGCCAGGAAGGGGCGCAATTTGATTGCAGTGACTAAGAGCAAAAATGGCTTCATCACAAGACATCCAATGTCAGCATGGTAAGTACTATCCACGAAAGCCGTGATCGCTCGCGTCATATTACCTCACATGAATGATGCAAGCTGATATTTTTCTCAGGCACGACACGAAATTTACGATATGGTATCGTGACATATTGTAGTTTGCAACAATAGATCCAGACACGTAATCAGCATGTCAACACGCTCGCACTAATGGCGGTGCCTGGTAATGTGTCTGTGGTACATGCTGCAGGTAAAGGCGCCGGAAGATGTCAGAAATCAGCAACGGCAGAATCGGGACAATGGCCAAACTGAAAGCATGCCCATCTCTGTAGCAGTAGATCTTATGTGTCTGTTCCATCATGTGTGGTACATTGTCCTCATAGATTTAAACCTCTAGTGTTTTTGACAGAACTGCCATAAACAGCTTTATCCTCATGTGCTGAAAGGACCAGGTCTTTCGTGATAACAGGACCATGAGAATTGCATGAAAAGTGGGATCGTGATGAGCACCACGGCTGGGCTGTGATTCCATGGTTCTTCATGCATTTCCATATCCACTCTTAAGACAGTGAAGGTTCGTGTTAGTCAGCTGGCTTTTCCGCCCACTACGATACTCGAGGTGCAATGCTGATCATTTTGCATGTTCTTCTGTACTCATCTTACACAGTCAGTTGTGCTATGTCATTGATTTATACGGTAAGCTAATGTTTCGATTTTCCATATTTATTCCGAAGCCTCACCGCGCGACGTCCCAGCTTGGTGCCACGGATCTGGGTAGAGCGGTAGGCGCCCGTGGCTGCTGCAACTGAGACGGGTCAGCGGCCGCAGGGTCACCGCGTGCGGAGACAGGCGTGACCAACAGGGAGTGGCCGTGAGAGCCCAGCTGATGGTCCATCGCCAAACGGTCGCATGTGGAGGGATCGGACCGTGACCTCAGGCCATCAGCGGCTTGGAGCTCGCGCTTAAAAGCGAAGGCTTTGTAGAGAAGGTATCAGTTTCACTGCAATCTCCGCCACCAAAGCGTGTAGCATGAAGGTGCGAATTAGTGTTTCAACTAAAACTACGATATTGGTCGCTATGGTGGCCACCTTTTGAGTGCAAACAAAATGAATGATATGTATGATTCAGACTATCAATCATGTTTACAGGAACTACACAGCTATTAAAAGCTTGTCAAAAGCACTTAAAGATGCGATATCGGTTCCGATCAGGAATGCATTTCAGTATGTATAGCAGACTAGATTTTTGCCTCCAGGCCTTAGTCGTCGTCGCCGCACTGGCCGCCGCCGCCGCCGCTGCACCGGCTCCCGACTCCCCGTCATACCACCCGGAGTACCAGTACAAGGAGGAGGCCAAGCCGTTCGCCTACGACTACGCCGTCAACGACCACTACACCGGAGCCAACTTCGCCAAGAAGGAGGAGAGCGATGGCCACAACACCCAGGGATATTACTCAGTGGCTCTGCCCGACGGACGTGTCCAGCACGTCAAGTACGTCGCCGACAACTACGGCGGTTACAACGCTGAGGTCACCTACGAGGGAGAGGCCCAGTACCCCGAGTACCACCCCGCCCCTGCCTACAAGGCTGCTGCCCCGGCTTACAAACCTGCTACTGTTCACAATTCTTCCCCTGTCTACAAGGTTGCTGCCCTGCCATACAAGCCTGCAACGTACTCGGCATGAGGGATGCCCAGTGAATGTATGCACGAATGTGGTCTTGTGATTATAATTATTCATAAATATGTCAATAAAACAGCTGCTCAGACGTCCATGTTGTTATTGTTGGTACGCGGTCCATCTCATTAGGCTATATGCACATACTGTTGATGGTGGCGTAAGCGTCACACCATCATCACACCACCGCACCCGATCTACACTTTATCTGAGCGATCAATAACCCCCCTCCGATTCTCCACGTATTGGTTTAGTTTTCGTAGTCAGGGAAACGGTTGCTGCGTTAACTTGACGTCACTGTTCAGTCTGGCTACACCCGGCTGGCGTTCGCGGCATATTAACCTTTTCAACGAGTTATTGGCAAGGGTCAACACTGTTAAAAGTGGATTTGTCGCACGATCACTCGCTGTTTACAATTTTTTTTCAGTATTCTTCAACTGACGTTTTCTTCCAACAAAATTATTCCAATCTTATTTGCTTAGGTTCGCCGGCACGCGTCGAACATTCTCTTGATGACTTGATGTGCGACTGTGTGTAATGTGTGTGTGTGTGTGTGTGTGTGTGTGTGTGTGTGTGTGTGTGTGTGTGTGTGTGTGTGTGTGTGTGTGTGTGTGTGTGTGTGTGTGTGTGTGCACGCGCGCGCGCACGCGCGCTGGGTTAGGGTTTTTGCTGGTGTGTGAATTATAAAATCGTATCTTGTAAATTCTGCTGCTTCCAGAATAGGGCTTTTGTCTGTGGAATGATCACGTACAAAATAAACCAATAACCAAACCACAATAACAGCAATACCGAGCATTGAACATATATACACATCCCAAGCAAATGGAATACTGCAGCTTCCTTGATCTGTCGCCGACCGCCACGCTGCGCGACTACGAATTCTTTGTTGTAAAAATTATTGGCAAAAGACTGTAGCCTCAATCTGGTACAAAGAATTCGTCCGCGAAACGAAATGAACAGTGACCGGAGTGAAATGTGTGGCTTATGCAGTGAACCTACGAATATTTGAAATCACAACTAGATGTGGAGAGCGGTGTTGAGAGCGACACATTGGAAAGAAAATGATCAAGCCATCGCTTATCCATCATCATTCGCATTTTTCGTCCAAAATTATAATCCTGATGTGATTTGGCCTTTTTTCTAGAACACATGTGAAGGGCTTCCTGTTCAATCAGAAAAAAACAGTTTGATATATCCGTCTCCTCCTCGCACCCAATACGCTTTTCGTAGCCAAAATTGGTCTGATGCAAAGCTATATTGAATCGATGGGCATGGACCAATAACTATTCATACAGATAAACACAAACGCTCAGAAGTGTAGTTGGTCACTCCATACACCCTGAAAGTTTGCTCACATCGGAAAAATGTAAAAAGGCATTGCCACCCGCCGACCCATCTTGAGTTGAACTATATGACCCAATCTTAACGTCGACGGCCTGACCTGGCCGCCGTTCAAAACCTATTCCGCTAAAAATTGGTGGCGGGGAGAAGACATTTCCCGAGCGTGTGTTAATGTTTGGCAACTGGGCGAAGAAAACTACAGCTGATGGGTTGGGGACCTTGAGTTAGCAATGATCTAACACACGGCTGGCGTGGTGTGGCCGTGGTATGCTATATCTAATAAGTTATCCTAAAAAAATAGATTTTCAGCTGGCTGACGCTGTGCAAAGTTTGACGCAATATCGAGTATGGGCGCGATGGAATCTTCACAACCT